CCGGTCTAGGCCAGTTGGAACCGGTCTAGGTTGGAAGTGGCCCAGACGGTTGGAGCAGTCCAGACCAGTTAGAGCAGGTGCAGGTCATTTGAAACTGAATTTGACCAGTTCAAAACAGCCTAGACCAGTTCAAACCGGCTTCAACCAGCACAAATCGGCTTGGACTGGTTCAAACCAGTCTAGACCTCTTCCAACCAGTCTGAGCTGGTTCCAACCAGTCTGGGAAAGTTGGATCCCGCCTGGACCTTTCCCAACTGGTTTGGGCTGGTTCCAACTAGCTTGGGCTGGATCCAACTGGTATGAAATGATTCCTACAGGTCTGGGCTGGTTCCAAGCGACATAGACCTGTTTCAACTAGCCTGGACCTGTTGTAACCAGCTTGGGCCAGTTTCAAATGACCTGCACCTGCTCCAACTGGCCTGGACCTGCTCCAACCTGTCTGGGCCAGTTCCAACCCACTTGGAACTCTTCAAACCGGCCTAAACCGGTACAAAACTGCCTCGACCAATTCAAACCGGCTTGGACTGGCAGAAACCGGCCTAGACCGGTTCAAACTGGCCTAGACCGGTTCCAACCGGCTTGGATCTGTTTCAGCCGACTTGGTCTGGTTCAAACCAGTCTAGACCTGTTCCAACCAGTATGGGCCAGTTCCAAGTGGTCTGTGCAAGTTGGAACCCGCCTGGACCTTTTCCAACTGCTTTGGGATGGTTCCATACCTAATACAATGACCGCTCCCGCTTAAAACGGGGGGCGCCCTTTGCCTGGACGCATGCAGCCCCTAGATCTGGAGCGGCTCCAACAGCATAGGCTTGGCTTTGCCTTCCCTCAGGTGGATACCTGGAGTCTCCGCCTACCTCAGTCAGTTGTCCAATCCCACCTGGGGGAAGCGTTGCCAGGTAGACAGGCCAGGTAGGGGAAGGGGATTACACTGCCCACACAATAGAGGGAGGATCTTACCTGGAAATCCTCACTTGGCCTCCAGAGCTCTCCCACCCTACCCACCCTCAG